GTCATGCACTTCTAGTTAATATATCTCTATTTTAAAATCTGTTTATTCTAAAATAATAAGCAGAGACTGCTAACATATATAAATCATACAATACAAAATTGATTACAAATACAATGTTAATTGGGTAGTTTTTTGGGCATGTTAAAACTCATTGTTCTCAATATACCTCGTTTCCTCAATGCTCTTTGTTTAACATCGAGTATGATTACTAAATTAAGAGTGATGATTATTAACATTTTGTACCTAATAACTTTCTAATTGGATTTGTTATTTATATTTTTTTAAATTATAATACTATAAGTAAAATTAATTATGGTTCATAAATATCGGTTCGTCCCAAAAGCGCGATCTAGGACTCTTGATTTTAATATTTTTTTATAATTCAACCAGCTTTTGTAACATTAGAATATTTTGAGATATTTGTTTATAAAGTCCAAACTTTACCATCGCAAATTTCATTAAGTATTAAGTTAAAGTATTACCATTTTTATAAAACTGATAAAGTGCACATTGATAAATAATTACTACACGCGCTGTATTACATATAAATTTTTCAATCCAAAAAATATTTCAAAATTTATATATATTTTTTTCTCCGAAACAAACGTCAATCCTTCTACATATAGGAAATTTCCTCGTCTCGAATGTAATATCGAATTTATTAAAGTTCAACTCGAGAAGGATATTCTTTGATATGGCTTAAAATGAAGATAAACTTTTCGAGATAAGTACTCTGAAATCTCAGCTTAAGAAACTTGCTTTCTCATACACGTGGAGAGAACTTATGAAGATAACAAAATTCAAGCCTATATATAACACCTTTCATCGAAAGGGGAAAATTTCCTTTTATTGTAAATAAAACGATTTTTCTTTTCCATATAACGATGAATAAAAACTGAATTTTTTTTTTAAATCATTTGTAATCACTTCAGAATTTAGTCAGTTGCTGCACAACATTTTTACTTGTAGTCAAATTATTATAAAATTTTTCTATTTGAACATCATGTCAAATTCTGAGAAATATAACACGCTATATAAGAATACAGATTTTAGATAGAGCAAAAATATATTTCAAATTCTGTTCGCAAGGCAGTGTCTGCATATATAATCTTTGCTTCATTTAGTAAGGGATCTAGTTTAAAATTTATTCCTGGCGAATTTTGCTTTCATACTGAATTTAAAAACCTAGATTAATTTTTATATGACATAAAATATATATCAATTTCCTTTTGTTTCTTCCATATCTATATTTTTTCAATACATTTCTTTCAGTATAGACTTTATACAAGTAATTGATTGTTGATTAAACTAAAATCTACCATAAATACAATGCTATAATAAATGTGTTTTACAAACAACTTATCAACTATTTCAACTGAATGTAAATTAATAATTAAGAATAAACGAGCTTGATTTTTACTACTACTTACGAAAATTTGTTCTAACTATTTTTCTACAAAAACCATTTATAAATTTTACTAATATCTGTTGCTGTACAGATGTATAAAAAAAACATTGAAAACAACAAGATAGGAGATAATAATTAAAAAATAAAATTTTTATTGATTAAATAAAACAAAATACGCATTATTTGCAAGAATCCAGTTATGGTAGTTTTGTTTTGACATATGTGCCTTCAGTAGGTTATGTTTTCTATGTAAATCAGTTCTTACATTAATAAAACCAACGTGTTTCCGATCACCTTCCATTATGTTTTATTTCAACTCTGAAAGGGGAGTGATGTGGTGTACAAGTAACTTCCGCATGATTTTGACAGTTTTTAGTGCCACTTAATATGAGAACTGCTACATAACATAACCTTGCCGGTTATTTGGTGAAAACTTTAAGTTTCAAAAATTTAACATACTATAATCTTAGCTAATATTACCTTAGCTCTTTGTCTATCTGACGTTTTGATATATCTTCGGCACTATTTTGTTATCGAAGCGTGGAAAAAATCGAAAAATCTGAAATTCAACAAAGTCAGGCGGTAAACAGACTATCACAGCCGACGTGAAATATTGAATATAAAAAAGGTTGTGTATCATTATCTTTTGGTTTGTATAAGATTCGTCACGTTCACGTTCACGTTTTTCGGTAAATATTGAGAAAAAATTCTATGTCAAAAGATACATGTGAGAATAAATATTATATGGGCATTTATAAAACATAGTCATATCACAAAACATTGTTACTATTGATTACAAATAGCAATTACAACAATTATTTCTGATACTCATTACTAATTGTACTACATATGTCATAGTTTGATCATTTCCAACTTTGTCACCATATAAACAGACAATACAATGTTATAAATGTTACTGCATGTCAATGATAATATTATCAATGCATTACCATTGTACATTGTTTCAAAATTAGCAAAAGCACTCCAAATCTACTCAAAGCGATAGATGAATCATGTATAAACTACTTGTATCGTGTATATATCATGTATCAGATGTATGTTACTGGACTATGGTGTTTGTTCGCCAGAAAATGTCAAAAATTAGATTTGCTGGTTATGTGAATTTGTTGTGAGTGTGTGAACAAGCACAAATTAGTTTCTGTATCCAGTAATAAGTATTGTTTTTTTTTTTTAAATAAAATGGTAAAAATATTTATTAACCAAATGTATTTTTGATCATTAAAGTTCTAATTTCGGAAATTTATCTAATCATGTACAATCAATATTTACAAATTATATGCTCAAAAATTTTTTAAAAATTTTAATTTATTAGCTGTACCCGCTCACGCTTCGCCGCATTTTACTTTCAATTAAAATAAAAAATTGAATAAAAATGCATCTTTGTTACATCTAGCCTATGAGTTTTCTTATTTCTCAGTCTGTTTACATGACTACTTGTCTACCAGTTTACCTGTCTACCAATTAACCTGTCAAGCTGTTTATCAATCCACAAGCTTACCAGTTGACTAATTTATGAATCCACTAATATACCTTCCAACCTGTTTATTGGTCCATCAATTTACCTGTTCAACAACTTACCTGCCTATCAATTAACCTATCCATCAATTTAGCTGTCTATCAATTTACCTGACTATCAATTCACCTGATTATCAATTCATCTGACTATCAATTCACCTGACTATCAATTTAGCTGACTATCAACCAATTTACCTGACTATCAATTTACCTGACTATTAATTTACCTGACTATCAACTTACCTGACTGTCAACTTACCTGACTGTCAATTCACCTAATTGTCAATTTACCTTACTATCAATTTGCCTAGCAACCAGTTTGCCTGACTATCAATTTATTTGTCAACCAATCAACAGGTCAACAGGTACTGTCATCCCGTTTTACATGTTTACCAATTGACCTGTCAACATTGACATATTTATCTGTCTACATATTTGTCTATCTACCAGATGTCCTGTCTACCAGTTTACCTAGTTACCAATTTACTTAGTTACCAATTTACTTGTCTACCTGTTCTTATGTCTGGGTTTGTATCTGTCTACCTGTTAACCTATTTATTTGTTGACATATCTGTCAGTTACCTATCTACCGGCCTTTTATTTGAAAAATGCCAATTAATTAAAAAAGATATAATTACTATGATAATTATTACAAAATTTAGGGTCATACGTGTTTTCATAAATAATGAAAATTGACCGAAAAAATAAAAAAAAAACTCCAGGGCGGTCAAACCCTACCACTTGGCTTCAATCAAAATATTCGAAAACCTGTCCGGGAACTTACATAACAATTTCCAAAATTTTCACGGCGACCAGACGTTCGGTTTATAAATACATAACAATCACACAAACATAGACTGGCATCGATCCATTTTTATTAAACTTATTTCAACGAATCTAGAAACGTAATATTCTTTTTAATCCCCGCCCACAAGCCTTTTATTTTCACGTCGCCCACATCACTCCCCCACAAATTTTATTCTATGCTTCATATACAGATCCACCATGCATATTTATAATCATAATCTACATTTTCAGAATAAGTTTTTAATTTGGATTTTAATTGTTAAATTTTTTTTTTTATCCTTGCACATTGGTTAATATTGCTGAAGAGTATTTCATATGTCTTTTCTACATCTGTGTATTTTTTCGTTTTATTCTTTCAAATTTGCTCTGCCAATTTTGCTTCGACATATGACCTATATATGTATATAGGTATGGGTATATATGTTGCATTCAGAAACATGTATTCAGTTTGAGGAAGGTCCAACAAAAATTGTGTTATCTGATCCGTCAGAAAAAGAGAACGAAGTGTGAGGAACGGACGTCTTTTGAGTTTTTCTAACACATGCTCGGAAATAAATGTTTAGGGAACACGAGAAATCATTTTCACTGTATCCCTATATTGCTACCAAAATCCACAAAAAAATAACAATGGAATAAATGCACATGTACAAAATAAATGGATATTAGAAGTATAATAATGACCGCAATTTTTGTCTACTTAAATTTTTTTTTTTTTAAATTAAGCATAAAGCAAAATACATATATTCATGTCTCCTCATACCTTTTCTTGCAAATAATTCTTTCAATATTTTTAAAATTCATTAGTTATTTAGTGTAACAATTCTGACTAAAATAATTACTTTTTTCAACTGTATAGCTCCAAGCCAATTGTTACATTTACTCGTCATGAAGAAGTTGCAGAATTTTGTATATAGACGAGTATATTCGTCCAAAGTTTAGAACAGTGATCATTGCTAATTAATTGAACTTTTTGAAACAAACTATGTATTATCTGAATTTTGATACTATGGCTGTATAAAATAAGTAGTAGTAAATGACATTTTATTTTGGCAAGCATGAACTTTCCGAAATATGTAAATAATATATTCAATCAATAAGAATTAAGATGTAGCTATTGTAATACTAATTTCTACTCTTTATTTTGTTGAGTTTTTGGTTTTTATCAAAAAGTGTTTTTATTTTCTTTATTTAGTTTGTGTTTTCAGATTGATATTCATGATTGTAATAATAAATCCCTTTTTTTCAACAGATGTTCAACCAGTACTTTGTGTTAGACGATTATATTCGTCATGATTCGGAGGACACAAAACTTTGCGCACTTGGCAAAAAATAATGTAAGTTACATTTCTTAATTATTGTATAAATATTTTAAATTGTTGGCATGTTATTTGGAAATCCCAAAATTTTACAAATTTTATTCGATCATCAGTAAAGGTCATACTTGGACGATAGTAGCAGTTTACAAATATTGAGTGAATACTTTTTAACAAGAATTCAGTTGGTTTGTTACAAGAAAATCGCCAAAATTCATAAATTTTACTCTTACATTCTTAAAAAAAGAGTGCGCGTAAGGTTCACACGCGATTGAAGTCATCAAAAGTCAAATAAGTATTTTATATATAATATTGTATATTATTTGCTTCTATACAATATGGCATTTAAGTAAAAAAAAAATACATTCATCAGTGTCAATTATATATAATGATAAAATTATAAATGATATATTTAAAATAGCATTAAAAATACGTATAATATTTAAAAACAATAATGCAATTAAAGTCATACTTCAAATATGACATGATCGGTTTCTCATTGTAATCAGCATTTTGAAATTAACCTTCATTAGAGATATGAAGTAATTGCTGATTAATAAATTTCTATAATATTTATTCACACAGTGGACTACGTTAAACAACGCCTAAACAAATATTGTTTTTGAAATATCATGTAATAATTGTATTTGAAGAACTTCATATAATTAAAATTAACATACATTCATTGACTGATGGTATGCTATTACTTTTTCATTGGAGGTATAATCTCATTCTCTGAACAGCTGTAATATCTGTTTTGCCTAAAAAAAAATCCATTTTAATATCTTCAAAGATTTATAGAAACTACGAATAATAAAGAAATAATTTCTAATCAATTAACTTACTTTTAGTACAAATGCTTAATTTGTTTTATTATTTTCAAGGAACAGGGTAAAATATTATTCTGATTCAAGCATTTTTCATTAAATCAAAATTTGTACTACGATGTAACTTTAAAATATTTATTTATCTATGCCGATTTGCTTGTTAATATCGGTACGCATACAACGTTGACGCCGATACGCATACAACAGATCTCTATTCACATACAACGACTAATCACAATCGACCCGTATAGAAATGATATAATCGATATCCAATGACGAATCATTGGCACTCGACTCTTATCTTATCATAGTCGCGCCTTAAGAAGTTTTACTTAAATATTCAGCTTGCATTTAGCTTGCTGATTATATCAAAACCACATAGTTTCACCTGTTTTATTTGATCTTCATATAGTCTAGATTTGAAAACCAAAAATGACAGTCCATAATTACAGTACCAAACATACACTTGGGTGATGTATTCATCTGTTTCATTTGTGACTTTCAAAATTTTACTCAAACAGCCTACATTTTCATTATTAGCTTTACAGTCTATTATAAATTACCCATGTTTCCTCTATTTTAACCTCAAACGAACATATACCTACATATGCAATATACGTCTCGGGGAAAAAGCAATATGTGCCTAAAGCATATTCTCGGCCTATTTCCTTTTTCTTCGATTCACGAAAAGAGAAAAAACCTGCGGCAATTTTTGTTTCGGAATAACTTACATCAAACACGCATCTCCTCCGAGAAGTTTTTCTCCTTGTGATTATTTTAATATATTAGCAGACTCAATAATGGCAATAACGCATTGTGCTTTAGTCATAGTTAAATTAATTTTCTTGATGGCCAAGTTAATGTAATTGGACAAAGTTTGAAAACTTTGGTATTTAGCAATAGTGGAAATATACGAGTAAAAAACTAGATGTTAAGATGTATGATGAGCGAAATGCTACATTATTAATTTATTTGTGTAATTGAGTTCCATACTGACTTATGCTTTGAGAGGAATCTCAGTTGATGGATTTTTTTTTTGTACTCGCTATATTATATTTGTTGAAGTAAAACTTTATCAGGCGCCGTACAAATGCAACGAAAATAGCGTTACGCCCGAACTGTACCTCATTCGCTTTTGATGAAATATCAACAAGGAAATCGGCATAGATAAATAAACATTTTAAAGTTACATCGTAGTACAAATCTTAATTTAATGAAAAATGCCTGAATCAGAAGAATATTTTACCCTGTTCCTTGAAAATAATTAAACAAATCGAACATTTCGGCCGTGTACTAAATGTAAGTTTATTGATTAGAAATTATTTCTATATTATTCGTAGCTTCTATATATTTTTTAAGTTATTAAAATAGAAAATATTTTTAGGCAACACAAATATTACAGTTGTTCAAAGAATGAGATTATATCGACAGCAATAAAGTAAAAAAAATACAAGCGAAAACAATATTTGTTTAGGCGTTGTTTGACATAATCTACTTATATTATTATAGAATTTATTAATCAGAAATAACTCAATTTTTTTAATGAAGGTAGATTTCTAAATGCTAATTACAATGACAAACCGATCATGCCATATTTGAAGTATAACTTTAATTACATTATTGTTTTTGAATATTATACATATTTTTAATGCTATAATGGTTGACACTGATAAATGTGTGCATCACGAGTGTTACCATATAACTAATAAACATTATTCAAAATTGTTTTATGATGTATTTATTTATACCTAAATGCCATCTTATACTATAGCAAATAAGTTTTACTTCAATCGCGTGTGAACCTTACGCGCACTCTTTTTTTTGCAAAGAATTGCTGGGAACTTTATCTTTACTGATTACCATTATTGGTAAACTCCACACACATCAGGAATCAAATATCCTAGAATCCTTTGTCTCTAATGCGGTTTGTAATTACAAATGTAACCGCTTTCATCTCCCGAAACCACAGTAAGCACTCCTTGGCAATACAAGCCGTTGGTTTCTCGTGTAAGATCGAGGATTAAGTAGTTGATCTTATGTGGAGACACACAAAATTACACACGCACACACACGTGCATATACTAGTATATATACTAGCCGGTCCGTCAAACGTTGCTTAGCCATAAGATTTAAGATCAAATCAGAAAATTAACTCACTGATTATGTTCGTAGAAGTGTGTGGTTTATAACTGAAAAAAGTAGCTAACACAAATTAAATGGATCGTTTAACCACTGCAACGCATGTCTCATATAAATATTCCTAGGATATATTAAAAGTTGTTGGAAGTGCCAGTCTAATCTGAAACTGATCACTTTTAAATTAAAGCATTTGGTTATTCAAGGTTTTAGTATATTATTACCGCGCTCTTAATTAATTTATTAGTTAATGAACTATATAGAAAAATGTGAATATTTACTAGCTTTCCAAAGGAGAATTCATGTTTTTATAAAAAAAAACTATTTGCTAATTTTATGTTTTCTCGACGGTTCCAGCCATTCTCAATCGGATGAGACCAGATTTACAACATGTATGTGTATGTGTGTGGATTTGTGTTTGAATGTGAACAGATTTTTTACCTTAATTCGACGTTTTCTTAAAAACAGGTGAACAGATTTCAAAAATTTACAAGCCATTCGCTATTTCTCGATGAGGACCGTCGTTCACCAGATATTTGCGACGTTTGGCCTAGCCGTTTTTTAGTAATTAACAAAAAAAATGGAAAAATTCCACGTTTAGCCAAAAGTCTGACTAGACTTCAAAAATTCAAAAATTATTTGTAATATATTATTTGGAAATGGTGAAGTTGACTTTTGAACAAAGAACGGCCAAGCCGTTTCTTCGTAATTAACTGTTGTACAGTATTTGTCATTGAAATTTTTTATGTCAATAGACATCATGGTCCTAAAAATCACACTAAAATATTACGGTTTTACAACAAGTCGTATAATTTTAAAAAATCATTAAAATTAGAAAAAATTGATTGTCAAAATTTGTGTCGAATGTCGCTTTCTTTGATTTCACAAATTTAAGTAATTTTTTTAGAATCAGCAAAAAAATAAGTCTACAAAACTTTTCTAGTTCTGTAAAAAATGTTACTATCATTTAATTATTAAAATAATGAAAATCTAAAATCATTATTTCAACGTTATTTTATCTAAATATCTAAATCTTAATTTCAGTTGATGAAGTCAATTATTACGCATTTCGAGAAATTCATGCAACTTGCCTTAAGGCAAAATGCCACTTTCAAATATATTTTTTTCACATTTTCCTCTGTATCTCCAAAACCGCTGGCTCAGCCTTTCCAAAAATTTAATCAATTCTTCATTTCGTGAATACAAGTAAAATATTTTTTGAATCAATCAAATCGGGCGCTCCGTTAGCTCAAAAACTGAATTAACATTTTTGGCTGTTTTTGCCCCATATCTTCCAAACGACTAGACCTGCATTTGCCAAAAACTAATAAGCGCGTCTCTCCATCAGTAGGAATCGAATATTTTTTTAATCATTAGACAATCGTGGGCAAAAATTTTAGAAATAATTGATACATGTATGTGTGTGAGAGAGAGTGTCTATGTGTATGTATGTTTGGATAAAATTTTTATCTACGAGTGTCTAATGATTCAAAAAAATATTCGATTCTTACTGATGGGGAGACGTGCTTCTTAGTTTACTTTTGGAAAAACGTCGACAAAAGGTCAAAAATCTGTTCACAGACACACACACACATACTTGATCCATCCAATCATTAGACAATCGTAGACAAAAATTTTATCGAAACATAGATATACATACACTCTCTCTCACACACACATACATGCATAAATTATTTCTAAGGTATGCCAAAACGCTCAAAAAACTTTGAAACGTATTATTCTCTTTGATTATACGTTATTCTCTTTTGCGATTACTATAACTTACACTATGGGAAGTTAATTGTGTATTTAATTTTACTCATATTATTATTTTCATTTGCATTATTTGCAGTATTATACACACACACACACACACACACATATATATATATATATATATATATATATATATATATATATATATATATATATATATATATATATATATATATACATGCATAAAGATCTCGGATTGTTCATTCATCGTATAAAGGTTTATGACTGTACTGTTTTATTTGATCCACTCGGTCTCACCATAAAGGCAGTTTTATTGCAAAA